TCATCAAGCACTCATAAACGTTTCCTATGCGAAATTCGTGCCAAGGCGCCAATCAGCTTCAGTGGAGCCTAACGCCCTCAGCGGGCCAAAGCAAAAAGATGATGCCCCAATGTCTTATTGTGTGGCAAGCCGTTGTCAGGGCCGCATCTCGCATGTCTTATATGGTCTCTGCTAATTGTCGACGCAAGTCGAGTGCAAAAAACTGAAGCGCAACGAAAAACTGGTGACAGTCAAGGTTGTCTGGCTTGGCTAATGGCTCGACGACTGTAAAAAGACTTTCACTTTACAGTTTTTGTTTTGCTTTTGTTTTTGATTTTTTGCGAGTTGTTTTATGTTGCTTTACGCGCTCCGCTTTTGGACATTAAGTTGCACTTGACGCAGTCAAAGTTACTGCCACACACACAACTCATGCAACGACGACGACAGCGCCTAAGATATGACTACAAAAGGAAGGCGAGCGGCGGGCTGTGGCATGCCTGGCGGACTGTCTGCCTGTTGTCAAAAAAAAAACAAAAAAAAAACAAAAAAACTGTTCGTGCAACATGCTGCAAGTTTTGCCTAGCTTCCGTTGTGGTACATACCCTTTTGCCATGTTGCAAATTGCAATTTTAATGGGCTACAAGATGCGAGCCATTGCACAACTTCCACTCCACTCCACTCCACTCAAGCACTCTGCCCGATTCAACTGCAACTGCAACTGCAACGCGGCGTATGCGTAATAAATTCAAACAAACCTTGAAAAATATGTTTGCCATTTGGCCAGCTACTTTTTTTTTTTTTTTTTGTCTGGCATTTGACTTATCTAACTTCTCGCTGCTGTCATAATATATCTTCAAATACGAAATGAATTAAATTTTAAGCCTGTGCAGCTGGTCTAAAATTTTTGCTTGAATTTAAATTTGAGAAGAGAGTGTTATTTAATTAATAATAATTTTTAATACAGAATTTGAAATCTAAATCATTATTTATAATTTCAGTTTTTTATTTATTTTTTTTTTAACTTTACTTTTTACATACAATTCTATACTTTCATTTTAGTTGTCATAATTAATAACTTTACTAAATTTTGGTCAATTTTAAAGTATAAATTTTAAAAATATTACAATACTATTTTTTATGGATTTTTTTTTTTTAAATTATCAAAGTAGTTGACCAAAACGTAAAAATTTCCAAAACTTTTAAAAAATCAAAGAAAATTAAATGCTTTTGTCTAAATAAAATTAAATAAAAATAAATATTATCAACTCCATTTCAATTAAAGTTCATATGGACTTAAGAAGTTAAATTAATATTTTGAATATTCCCCATCAATAAAATAATTATATTTTAAGTATGATTCTAAGTCTTCTCATAGCTTTCGGCTTTACTAAATTCTTTTTGCCTTAATAGCAAAAGTTTCCTAAGAGCTGAGAAGCTTGAGCATTTACGTAATTCCAATTAATGCCCATAATACTTGTATTTCTCTTTGATAACTGACATTTTATAATTTGTATATTATTCATATTTCTTATCGAAAAAAGCGTATTTGAACCTTCGCCTAGCCACATTTACCTTTAGTTTAGGACAACTTTAAGAATGTATCAAATTTTGGATGCAGCAGCAACAGCAGCAGAAGCTAACAAATTAATTTTTTGTGCACAACGACAACAGAGTCTCGAGTGTGCCCTGAAGGCGGAGTTGTTGTCTTCAAAAGAGGCGTGGCAAGTGGTATGACTGCCCTGCCCTTTACTTCCCCCACCAACTACACATGAGCAACATATATCATAGGCGACGGAACAGGAGCTGCTGCTGCTGCTGCTGCTTCTGCTGCTTCTGCTGCTCATGTTTCGCGTCAGGCTGATTAGAATATAGCGAGACGTTTGCATTATTTATGCCAGCCAAATGAAGGTTTGCGGGTCAAAGGCTGGTCGACTGGTAGCTGGCTGGCATAGGAGCAGCAGGAGCAGCAGGAGCAGCTCCATTGACAAAGTAAGAGCGCACGTGACGGGGCAGTGCGAATGACAGGTGGACCGGAGCGCAAGAGAGATAGGGAGAGCCAAGCTGAATGTCAAGCGACAAACAATGAAAATAAAAGGAGCCAGGCACGTGACAGGACTCGCTCCGCGCTCATCATTGAATAACTTATTGAGCAACATCAGCGACTTCTCCGACCACTTTTAATTGCAGACAGTGCCTAAAAGATGCCAAAAGCAAGTCGCGAAATGAAATTAGTTGAGCAGCAGCAGCCGCAGCAGCAGCAGCAGCAGCAGCAACTCCTTTAATCCTTTCGATGCCCAGCGAAGCACGTATGCTATAAGGCAACAGACTGCACGCTACAATTATTTTTCATATTGAAACCTATTCTAATTGAATGTTTTTCCAATCATTTGCAGCCTTCTATGTCTGTGTGTGTGTGTGTGTGTGCTTGGGTCAATTGTTGAAGGGAAATAATTAAAGTTAAACATTTATATATGAGCGAGAGATGATGACGATGATGGAATCCTTAAAGGGTAAAGAGAACTATCACTTTAATATAATTAAACCTTCATGATGAAGGTTTCCATATACATAGTAATGAATTGTTCCAGTAAGTCTTATTCTACTTCTACTTCTACTTCTACTTCTACTACTACTTCTACTTCTACTTCTACTTCTACTTCTATCTGCATTTACATCTACATTTACTTCTACCACCTTCATCTCTCTTCTATCTCTTTCCAGCTCTTTTTAATACGCCTTTCTATTATCCCTGTCAAAATGTTATGATATTCAAGAAGCATTCAGCAGCTGCTGCCTGCCAATGGCACTTCAATAGGCAATTGAGCTGCCATTTAAACGCTTGTCAAATGCACAAAGAGATAGATAGAGAGAGAGAGAGAGAGAGAGAGAGAGAGAGAGAGAGAGAGAGAGGGCACAGCGCTGCTTGCACTTAAGCCTTTCATTTTAGCTATCTACAGCTTAATTAGCAGCAGGAGTAGATTCAAGTACAGCAAAACGTAGCAAAAACTGTAGCATACGCTGAGGCGCCACAAGCAGGTAGCTAATTTCCGGTGCCGTTGGCTCAACACAAAAATGCTAAAAAAAAAATGAAAAAATAAATAAAAGCCAGCTCAAAGTTAAGCAGCGCATTTAACGCTTCGGGCTGAGTGTTGCCAAAGAATTTTTGCATACACAACCAAAAGCTGACATCGCTTCGTTCGCTGCACTCGAGGCTGGCAAAGTGCCTGTCGCTTCAGCCATTTAAGCCAGCAAGAAATGGAGAGAGAGAGATAGACTAAGAGAGAGAGAGAGGGGAAGAAGACTGTCAGCATTTAGCAAACGTTGACTTCAGCAACAAGTGGCTCCTCAGTTGGAGACATGGCCCAGGCGGGGGCGTTGGAGGCGTTGACAAAGCAGGACATCTTTTGGGGACAGCCCTGACTGAGCACTGATTGAGTTAGAGTTCGGGTCGAGAGCCGAAGCTGACTCTTTGGCTGGCTGGCAGCACGCTAAATTAAACAGCAATTGCAAACTTTCAGCAGAAACTTTCACATCATTTGTGAGTCTCACTCCACARATGTGTGTGTGTGTGTGAGTGTGCGTGTGTTAGCCAGGTAAAGACAGGACCTAGACATTACAATTTTATTTAGCATATGTGCTAAAATCGTATTATAAAAACGATTTCCTGCACAAAAGACACAATTTTGACCCTGTTAGACTAAGCAAAATACAAAATATTAAATTTTGGAAGCTTTAAGATATACATATATGTATATGTATATACATGCTTGAAAATTCTGAATTAATTTACTTTTGCTCAATATATTAATTATAAATTACCTATAATTAAACTCTTCCACAAACTATAGCTTATAATACGTATCAAATACATATATAAGATTCTCCTAATTTCATTTTAATAATCAAGTATAATCTCACTTAGTTACAATATATTTGCTTAGGAAATCATGTTCCCCAACTCTTTCCACACAAAATTAATCATTTATGATGTTCCATATCAACACCCTGAGCTGAACTCTTGCTTACCTCTATTTCATATATAGTATAAACAGGCCACATATTGTATTTTAAGCAGATTTGATTTTTATTTTTTCTGGTATTTTGGTCATTATTATGCATGATAAGAATGAAATTGATAATAAAGCGATTGCAACGGCAACAAAAAATGATTATATTAGTAAAATAGAAATATAGTTCCGGGGCGGGGGCGAATATATAGAGCTACCATATTTATTATTATATATACTAAAGCACAGTGTTTAGTTTTACTTGGGACTTTCTTAATATTTTTAACATTTAGAGACGGAATAAATTTAAGCATTTTCCAGAAATATTTATATATATAGGTTATGATAAATAATAATAATCAAAGATAAAACAAATGCAATGTAGAGCAACAAAATGTTTCCACATGGCTGTCATATATTAGTTATATATAAAAGTCTAAATAGGCTTTCATGATAGCACACATAGACGAATGAAGAGTGAAAGAGAGAAAATCAACGAAAAAAAAAGAGAGCGAGAGAGAGAGAGAGTGGAACACAAGATTGACATAGAATGCGCGGAAGTATTGTAATTGAGTTATCATCAGCTCTGGCTTCTAATAATTTTTCGTACTCTATCAACGCTCATAATATGAGCTTATTATAAATTCTCGTCTTTATGGGCAGAAGAGAAGCTGCAGCAGCAGCAGCAGCAGCGACTGCAACGACTGCAACAGCGGCAACAATTGACGCGGACGTTGCAGCAACAATAAAGCCATATGCAGCAAACAGCAGCTGGCAAAGGCCAAAAAAGAAGCGAATGGAAAATGCTGGCCAACAATTGAGATCGCTTATCAGTTGGCGTCTAATTTACGACAATGAGGCCGCCAAGCGAGGCCTATGCGGCACACACACACATACTTAATCCGCAATGCTGTGTGTGCATGCAAATATGAGACACTACATACATACACACATACATACATATATGCACATTTGTTTAATGCTCGCTCAGCTTTAATGCGTGTTGGAACTCACCTCGAATCGAACTTCTTGCCATCGGCCAGGAGTGTGCCAGTGTAGTGCATGGTCAGTGAGTCGCCGCTCTTCGTTTTCTGATCACAAATCTCGGGCACACTGATCACATCCACTTTCAGCTCACTGCAGCGAACGCCGCTGAAGGCCACCAGAAGGCAGGAGAAAACAATTGACTTCAACATGACTGCAACAAAAAAGTGGAAAGAAATTTAGTTTAAAATGTTATAAAAATTTGTTAAAATGCTAAAAATTAAATGAAAATTTAATATGATTAAAGCTTGGTAAGCTTTGAATTTCATAATAAATTCCAAGCAAAAGAATGGCCTAGATAAAAATATACAGTTGAGTCTCGATGATTCGGACCCCGCTAAATTGAAAATCGCTATAAATCGAAAAAAATTGTATCCACTTGAAAGAAACTCGTTCTTAATAATTTTCGATAATCTAAATTTGTATGTAAATCGAAAAAAAAACGGTTATCGGGACTCTACTGTAATATATAAATTAATAAATGGAAAACAGAAAAAAGATTTTGTATATTATTAATATTAATATTAAGTATTATATTAATAAAATTCCAATGCTAAGCACAATATGATTTAGCTTCAATGCTTCTCTTTAAATGTCGATTTAAAGTATAAGAAAAAGTCTTTTAACTTTTAAAAATTACAATTATAAAAAAATGATATTCTAAGCAACTCTAAACTCCGTTATTTTCAAAACATAAAATTAGTGCAAGTCCTCTCTTCAATTTCGAAAATCAATCAATTATTACATAAGACAAACTTTAAGTTAATTAAAGAAAAGGATGCGCAGTGTAAACTTAAAAAACACACAGATACACACACACACAAAAAAAAGAAGACCAACTGAGTAAAGAGTGAAAAATTGGTTATTATGCAAATGCACAATTCATTTGCGAAGCGCGCAGCAGGTTTTATCCAACTGCAGAGGATTACGCAATGCCAAAATTGCAAATTATTGCAGCTAAGTGTGTGTGCGTGTGCTTGTATTAGTGTCTCACTGTGTCTGTGTGTGCGCGTGCTAGCTGTGCGTATGCGTAATGTCCGCAAAAACGTAAAAGGTGACGGATGACCATTATGGTAGTGGAAGCAATATTTGGATTTCGAAAACACCTCATGTTATATATGTATGTAGTTCGTTTTTGTGTAGGTGTTTTGAAATTGCCAATGAAAGTTGGAAATTTGACATCTTGGGCATTTTCAATGGGTCATTCGTAAGATTTATGCGCGCCTGGAAGAAAGCGTTTTGAAGAAAATGATTTGCAATAAATAAATAAGCTCGCCTATGAATGAGGCAGCGCCAGCAACAACAACAACAACAATGTCTAAAGATAAAAACTTTCACTAAATAAAAGACTGCGTTGGGCCCGAGATGGCACCTAACAATTGGTAGCGGCACAATTACGTGGAAAAATACATTAACATTTGGACTCTCTACTACTCGTTACTCACTCTCTATCATTATCAAGCTCACTCGTGAGCTACCCTATGGAAATTAGTTATATAAACTTGCTGCTTGGCTTGTACTTTGATCTCTAAATTGAGGTAATTTTATTGTGTAAGAAATTAAGCTAGATTGATTTTTATAGGGAAGTACTTGAAGACAACAACAACAACAGCAAATTCATAAGATATCAGATAAGGTACTACACATTAAACAAAGAATTCGTTTTTGATATCAAGAACTTTTGTGTTTCTTTAAATATTTATACAAATCCCAATAATTTCTATTTATAGTATTCTCTATTCATAGTCTTCTCATTCATTATGGGCAAACACAAATCGAAATTCATGTAAATATTTAAGAACAGCTGAAGAAAGGGACTCAGAAATAGGTAAAAAGAGAAACAATAAAAAGTAAAATGGGTAGAAAAGTAAAAAGAGAAGAAAATTTCTCATATGGAACTTGACTCAAAATCCATTCCAGGTAATTCTGCTGAACTGAATTTTATAAATAGCTGCATATAAAATTTAACACTGAAGCGTATGTAATCTTCGGCTAATTGAATTTGTCTTTTCTTCATTTCGTTATTGTTGCTTCTTCTTCTTCTTTATCTTTTTTTTTTTTTTTTGGTTTTTGGGGCGTTTGCAGCAAAACCAGTTGCGTGTGTTGGCACCTTGTCTTTGGTTGCTTTGCTCTTGTCTTTTATTTTATTGTATTTTATTTTTGGTCTGTTTGATTTGAGCGCTCCGTGCGAGCCTGGTTCGTTGAACTGTCGCCTCTTACCGTTAGGCCGTTAGGCAGCAGTAGTCTACCTGGGCCAACAATGACTCGACTTAATAATTTGCGGCTAAACGTTAATGAAATGAAAATTTTACAGCTGAGCCGGAGGCACACGTCATGAGTTTTTCCATCAAAGACAATAACTGCCAACTAATTAAAACAACAAACGAATGGGGATTAGCTGCACACGACAACAGCAATAATGTACAGCAGCAACAGCAACAACAACTACAGCAACAATTTTGTAGGCCGGCCGGGAGATAAGCGCTAGAGCGTTAGAGCGTACTAGTTGCTTTACATTTTGTGCTCAGTTTCGTTAAGTTTTCTTTTGGCTGGAACATTGCCCTCTTCCCCTTCTCCATTTCTTTTTCTTCCATGCTGACGCGATCGCATGCTCTCTTTAGCCCTATCTCTCTTTCTCGCACTCTCTGCTGCTCTGCCACTGCTCTGACTCTGCTTTGCGCTGTGTCGCGACATTCGCTGATGTGTAAAACACGATGTGAATATGAATGAAAAAGACACGCCAGCTAGTCTCAAAGTACACGCTTTCATTTTGTTTTTGTTTCTAATTAACTGCATTCTTCGATGCACTCACACGCACACACATGTTAACACACGCAGGTTGTGTTTATTATGTAGTCAAGTTTGTTTATACCTTTTTGTTTATTTACTAATGTATTCCACTCAATTAATACCGGATATTAACACGGCTAACGGCACAGGCAACGGGCACACAACTGTTACGATCGACGTGCGCAAGGCAACTGCTGGAATTTTGACGACGACGACGGCGTTTACTATGCTGCGTGGAGAGCTTTTGTGAGCGCGTAGCGTACACCAATACAGCTACACAGCTCAACCGAAACACACAGAGATCAAGCGTGAGAGCGAGACGCAGCGTCTGAGCGAGAGAGTGTGACGCGGCAAACACTTGTCCACGTAATCAAAGTAACTCGCGCAGCTCTCAAACGGTTTACACTGAACTACCAAATTCTGACGTTGTTTCTGCTGCGACGTTGATAAGTCTGTATTGTGCGTGTGTTTTTTTATTTATTTATTTCATTTTATTTTTTATTTTGCTGAGGCAACTCTGTTTGATATAAATGATAGAATGAAAATAAATGAGCAACGAAAACAAAGTGAATCAATATGAAACTCCTATTTACTATAAATTACAGATGTCTAAACCCATTCAAGTATTTTCATTATATTACATTGATTAATTGTGATTGTTTGGCAACTTACTTATTTTTTATTTGTCTAAAACTAAATATTTATATAAAAATGTTGTTTTTAGTTTCTAATAAATCAGCAACAAAAATGGACTGGAACTTAGGATAGAGCTGAGAGACACACAACCTGCTCGCGCGTTGTTACAATGTTAACTGTGGGCCTGCTGTCAGGACGCTTCTAGCTACATGCTGAGCATGTTGCCAGCAACATGTTCATGTTGCGCGCAACATTCGCATTACATTGTACAGCTAACAAGACAAGCCACGCCCCCAAGGCGCATGCGCTAGGGCTAAAGGGGCGGAGTTAAATAGTAATGTAATGTAATGTTTTTTAAATTATAACTTTTAGTAATTAAATGTGAAAAAACTTTATTTTAAGATTAATATCACTTTCAAGATGGCAATTTAAAAAATGTATATCAATAAATAAAGTGTAAATATGTTTCCAAATGTTTCACAATTTTTGTACACATATATTTAAGTACTTACGCGCATTTAAACAAATTTGATCTCCTATCTATTGTCAACAAAAAGCCGCACCCGCAGATACCAAAACAAAAACAAACAAAAATAGCTAAAGCAGATTACCCTAGGGGGTTATTTTACGCCCCAATGGATGCGATTGCTAATGCAAATCAATTAGGTTTGCTAAACTCAATTTAATTTGGCTTCAGTTCCAAATCTAATCGCAGCGCGTCGGTTGTTTTACATTGAACGGATTAATAAAAATTGTGGGCATTAAAAAAAATCAAACATGCTGCAGGAGCGACAACAGATACGAGCACAGGCATATGCCCTAAAACGTAGGGAACACAGATTTGTGGTCGAGCGCATCGAGGGAATTATAAATCCAGCCTATGAGCCCGATTTGGGTGGGGATGTTAAGTCGGAGCGTGCAGCCAATCAGCGATGCAACCAATCAAAATGGCGAGTATATAACTTTAGTCACTAATTAAATACGAGCGAAAATATTTGTGTATTACGTAGATATAATAATTAAACGTTAGTAAATAACTTTTTATTCTAAATATATATTGAGAAAAACTTTTGATACTTTTTTCAATTCTTAATTGTTTATTTAAATTCAAATAAAATATAAACCTACTTATAATTATAATATAATCTAATGTTAATCTTAGAAAAGTAATTGACTTGCATCTGGCTGGGCTTATTCTGTTTTAAAAAACATATAATTTAATTCTTTATTAATTACATATATATAGGTTCCATTAATTCCTGAGGTATAACCTATGATCCTATAAATATATATAAACAAATTTCCAATATAATATCATTTATGTATTTATCTTTCAAAGTAACATTTCATATTAATTTTTGTCAAACTCTTTTTGTTTGATCTTCAATTCGAGCTCTAGAATTTTGCGCTGAACTTCAAGGTTCTTGAGTTCCGCCAAATGTTTCTGTTGAGCTCTGATATCAGAGTTACGATAATAGCGGAATTGAGCGGCCAACGATTTCTGAATACCACTGAGTTCTTTGGAAGGCTTGAAACTGGTTTCGAATAGTTTTTTTGTTAAGATCGTAGTTAGATCAAGCTTTTCGCCATGGCTGGGCCGCAAAGATTCTATTCCAGTTTGCCTAGAGGGGATAGTGTTCTTGGCAACAATTATTTGCTCATCGCCGCCCTGTGGATTTGAATTAGTGCCTGACACTGACTACTAAACGCCCTCTATCGTTAAACACCTACCTGATTAATGTTTGTATACTGCTGCACAAGCTTAACACCTTTCTCTGTGGACGGTTGGACGGTTGGTTCGATTTTGCAATTAACATCAAATTTGGGCTCGGACATGATCTGATCACCATCACCGAATGAGTTCTCTGCATGATGGTGCACGGACATGGTCTGATCTTGGTCAACCATATCTGCTTCTTCTTCAGATTGAATCTCTGTTTTGACGCGAGCTAATAACTTTGCCTGCTCAACTTCAACCTGAACCGATCCCATCTGAGACTCTCCCACTTCGCCGTTCTGATCCACTAATCGAAGCGAATCTTCAACCAGTGTTGGCTCGGTCTTCACCGACATATTCGCCAGTTTATTGAGTTTCTTCATCGTCTCGTATTTGGACTTAAGCTTAACAGCCGATCGCTGAATATTCGTATTTCTGACGAAGGATTTGTTAAAATGATAATCGAATTTAGTGCTCTCAAAACTGTGGCTATGCTGGGCTCACTTGAAAAACTCTATGGCTATGTCCTCCCAGGCCCGATTCTTGGCGCGCCAGACATGCGCATTCGAGGTCTTCTCCTCGATCTGTTTAAAATATTTGGCAGTCAATGCTCTCAGCACATTCTCCTCTGCAACTGTAAAGTTTGGCATACGCGTACGTTGACGGCGCGAGGTCATGGCTTGATCTGACTTATATGGATGATCTGACTTAATGGCTTAATCTGTAAAATAGATTAAGGAATTAAAGTTGTGTCGAACGGGTTATTGAAGTTGTTGTGTCGTGTCTTGTGTGTGTTTGTTGTCCAGAGCTGAGCTCCTTAGAAGCCCATAACATGTTTAGTCTTGGCTTTTTTGGCTGGCGGCGGTCTCATCTCCGGCGTATTCTCAATCACCGTGAATTGACTCGCTGTCAACGTGGAGTGCGGCTGTCTGGTAAAGTTGAAACTTTCATCAAATGAAGTTTCTTCGATTTTCGGTGTTTTTAATTCCTCCATATCGATTGTCTCTGGCAGCAGTTCTTTGTAGTCGGCGTAGGCGGCTTGGTAGCGCTTGGGCAGATTTGTGCCCGGCACCAGTTTCTCATCATCCCTGGCTGCTGCAGCTGTCAGCAGCTCTGTGGGCGGCAGCGATTGCTGCAACCAGGCAGCTGTTCGGTCTTCGTTCGCCTTCCCATCATCGTCTTTCTTTAGCTTCTCATCGATCATATCGATTTGGACATCTCGCGTCAGCTCGAACTCATCCACATCCCAGATGCTGAGCAGGCGCGTGCTGATGAGGTCCGTGAAACGGCTTAGATAATAGGCCGACTTTTGCCAGGGACCACGATTCACAGCTTTCTTCTTCTTGATGACTTTCTGATCCTCGTTTGGCTTAGTCTCTGCGGGTGGAGTCTCTTCGGGTGGGGTCTCTGCGGGAGGAGTCTCCTCTTTCTGGGTCACTTCTTGACTTTGACTATTTGTTGGTTGCGTTTCTTGTTCTTCGCTGTTCCCTTCGTCGTCGGTCGTGGACTCCGGCTCGGACTCAGTAAAGCCATAGTTGATGGTCACATCCTCAATGACCACCGGCTTCTCCTGCTCCGCGTACCTTTCGTTTTCGGACTTCATCACGTCCCGCAGCACAGACATGGGTTGAACTGTCGTACAGCGGAGTTTCCTTTTTACATGATGACGCACCAGCTCCGCATAGTAGAGTATCGCCTCCTTAGTGTGCACTCCAGTGCGCTGTTCGCGCTGCATCTCCAGCTCATCGCGCAGCGTCACCCGCTGGCAATGAATGTCGCCCACGCTGTTGGCGGTGAGCAGCTGAGCGAAGGCGCCATCAATGGCATTGTCCAGCCTGTGGAACTTGATGCCGGTGGTGCAGCATTTGATGCGCTCCGCCAGATCCGAATAGATGTCCACGCTCACACCCTGTAGCCGTGCCTGCAGCAACGCCTCTTCCAGCTGGGGCGGCTCATAGGGCAAGGAGGGGGACCACATCTCCATGTGGCTCTGCGCCAGAACTCCTTTTAGCTCGCAGACTCGCTGATCACTGGGTTTGGCGCTGCTCATCGCCACATATTCGCTGCCCTCGTACGCAATGGCATCCATGAAGGTGGGCGAATAGCTCATCTGATGCGTCCAGGTGACAACGGCACGATCCGCTACCTTCTTGCCCATACAACGCATGTCCAGACAGTGAAGCTTATGATTGCTTGCCACATACAGCAGATTGGGATTCACACTCTTTCCCATACAACTGAAGCTCTCGCAGTTCGACGAATAGGCGCTGCTGGCAAAGCAGGGATTGATTGCCTCGTTGGCAGAGCGCAGGTCGATGGTGAGCAGGGCGGATTGGCAGAGATAGTGGAAGCAGTGCTCCTCGCTGGCGCGCAGCTGTGCCCAGGTGCTGCTCCTGTGTATGCCTTTCAGGATGCACACCTCACGCTGCGTTATCTCCTGCTGGGTGACGATATCCTTGAAGCGCACACTGTGATCCTGGCACGCAATGCCCAATGTATTTGGACTATTCGTTGCCTGGGCCACGCTAATGAAGGGTCCATCCTGGCTGGTGTATCGACTCTGGCAGCATAATTCATATTTGCTAGCTTGCTCATGACCATCCTCATTCTCATCTTCATCCGCATTCTGCACTTCGTCCAGCTCCTTTAGCTCATAGATGACTATATCGTTTAGCATGCGCGCCAGAAACATGTTGCCATGATTCACGCGAAAACTGTTGATTGGCAACAGCTCAAAGATCTCGCTGGACATGTCCGTCAGTGATTCGCTGTGCAGTGGTCGCCACAGTTCCGCCTCCACGCCCACCTGTGAGAAATGGAGACACTGCAGCCGTTCGCCAGAGACGTGCATAGCCAGCGGCTTGGCTTCCGGGCATCCAGCAGCCGAGTAGGACAACAGATTTAGATTACCGCCCGTGTAATAGTAGTCATAGCTGTCCCGAAAGTAGGTATTATCCTGCAACGCTATATTCTCCGCCAAATCGAACAGATGAATATTGTATATCTGGTTATCATGTTTCTTTTGGCGCTGCTTTTGCTGGGCAGTTTGAGTCAAGTATCTGGACTTGTTGTAATGCACATTGCGCATCCATTCATCATGGGTAGCCGGTCGCTGATGGCACGGCTCCACAATGGGCGTGCTCTGGCTGGAGACATAGACGGGCAAAGCCACGGTGTAGGCGCAGCTGGGGAATATATTCAGCTGTCGATCTTGAACAGAGTTCTGTCCCAATCCTTGATTGAAGGCTGGATGTGTGTGATGCGCTGTATTCTCCAGCAAACTACGCTTCGGCTGCTGTTCGCTGTCATCTTGCTCTTCTTCCTCATCCAAATCGCTCGCAGAATTTCCTGCCTCACTACGATTACTGGACTCAAGGGATTCAATCGTTCCTTGGAGCTTCTCCAGCTGTAACTTTGTTGTATATCTACGAGGCATGATGTTTAAACTAAGTGTCTATCTACGAGTTTGCTTAGATTGGAATTTATTTGTTTGTTAGTGTTTTGGTTTTCGTTCGACGTTTTTTTTACTGCAAACCTTTAGCTTGATGCTATATTTCCTTATTTTTCCAGTTTATTTCGTCGACTACAGTTTATTTGTAGTGAAACATTAGTTTTCCAAGTTATTTAGGAAAATGTTTTCATAGAGAATTCCGAAATATAACTGGCAGTTTGTTAAAATGAACAGCAGCGGGCAGCATGCTTTAGCAGCTATAGAGATGGGTACTTTGATCAAGAATTTAGAGATGGCACTTCAAACCCCAAGTAAAAACGATCGAAACCTTGTTCATTTATTCAGTGATTTAGTTCATTTTCTTGAGATTGCTTTTCGTGTATGCAGTTAGATAACAAATAATACTATAGTCCAACTTGAACTGCAAAGCAAAAATATCGTTTAAATTATTGAATTATTATTGATAGGATAACCATAAAATTTGCGTCGATAATCAACCGTGACTTCGTATCGATACTTCTACTGATACACCAGCCCTGTTGTCATCGACCTGCAATCGCACCAACTAATTCTAAACAAAGTCTGCATATTTCTTCACATTCAATATTTGGTCACACTGTCGCGTGTATCATAATCGAGTTGAGTCGTCCGCAGTTTAGTCCAGAAAAGTTATCATTTAAATTTGTTCTTATTGTGACAAACAACAACGAATTAGTGTTCAGCAATAAATTAAATTAATCCAATGCAGCATAGTAACTGTGTTTGTGTTTGGGCGTGCGCGAAACAGCATCAAATTATACAAGTGTAAAACGCAAAAAATTTGAACACCCAAAGAAATATTGATTTTTTCATAGAAAAAAGGCCCTGCGAGTGTTATTCTTATTGTTGTTGTTTTTTGTGCGTGCCAGTTAACTACCAAAAAGAAGAAGGAGAAGAAAAAAAAAAGGCAAAAAGCATAAGAAGAAATTTCAAACTGCCAAGAAAATCCAAAAGCAGCTCAACAAGAAAACGCGCATCAGTAAATTTCCACAAATTTTATAATAAAATTGCTGCCTACATCCCGTCTACCCCGCCGAACATCATTTGATTTACAGTAACAGTAACAGTTGTTGTTTTTCTTGTTATTGTTGTTGTCTGCTGGAAGTTCATCACTGAGAAACATAAGCACAACGATCGTCAGGTGAGTCTTGAATGTCCAGCACTCACACAGAGGCACACTACGCACCCCTACACATACAGCAGACAAAGTGGTAATATCAAAAACAGCAGCAACAACAATAAGACACAGGCATTGGCAAATTGCACACACATGCACTCTCACATAACGGGTCTGGCGCGTGATGACCCTCTGCCTCTGCCTGTCAGATTTGCATAGCTTTGCTGCTGCTTCTATTGTTGTTGCAGTAGTAATAGTTGCTGTTGTTGTTGTTGTTGATGCATTTTGTCACTTTTGCTCTTTCTACACATATTACCTCTATTACTATGCCCGCCTCTCGTCCGTTTCTCTTTCTTCGCTCATTCTACTCACAACGCGCTGCATCATTTTCCATCAAGTTTATCATTTGCAATCTTTTTTTCGTATTCTTTTTTCTTATTTTTTTTTTTTCAATTAACACACTCAGCTCTCACACAGCTGAACTTTGAGCTTTTAGCAGTAGTTAACAGTTGTCTGTTAGTCGTTACATTGCATGTTAATGTTAATATTGTTGTTGCCTATTGTTGCCAAATTTATCTTCTAATGCATCTTAATTTATTTCTTTCTCATTTATGTTTCCTTTTGATTTGCTTTATGCTGTTAATTTTGACAAACCCCCAACGAATTCTGACGTAACGCAGGCCCAGAAAGCTTCACACTCCAACGAGCTGCGTTATTTTTCGCCCATCCGTTTTTGTTTGTTTGAATTTTATTACTTCTGGTGCTCCATTTGTAAGCGCTGTTAACTGTGCGGCGCCAGCGATAGCGCCTACGTCGACGTCGACGTCGCCGTCGTGGCTTTTCGCCCGCGACTTCGCCAAACAAGCGTTGCTTTTATTTGACTTTGTTGTTTAACTTGTCTGCATATTTAATATCGCGCGTAGGTCAGTTAACCTAGCATTTCGAGTCCATCACAAATTGCCAAATTGCTTTTTGCCCGATTCGCTCTCTATCTCTCTCTCTCTGCTACTCCTGCGCTGCCTGGTTGTATTTTTATGTAACTCTCAAATCGATTGCAAACACGTAACAGTAAAGCAACCTGCACGACGCCCCTGCTCTATATTTCTCTCTCTCTCTCACTCTTCTTTTTTGCTCTGCCCCTCCTGCAACACATCCGTGCCGCTAACAACTACATGGCCAGGAACTACGTTGTTGACGTTCTCATTCTGCTCTTCATCCTTGTATGTGTGTTACTGTGACGTTCGTATTGTAATGAAAGCCTCAGGGCTTTTGCCATATAGCGTGACATTTCCCTTATAGGATTTTTTCCTCTACACCTGTTCGACTTCCCCCGGCGCCCCCCATCATAAAAACACTTTGATTTGAATATAATTTCCACTTGTGTGCTGCAATTTGGTTTAGCACACAGGACACGACACGAAAGATCCTTGAATTGATTGATAAATTATGTTAAAAAACCAGAGAGGGAAAGAGAGAAATACGTAGATATTTTTGTGTTGCCCTCTTGCATTTGGCCAACAACAATTTGCGCTTAGCCCGGTCCGACTGGAGGCATCCACACTTTCTAATGCACACGCATTTGGCAGTGTTGTTGCCTCTGGGTCTGGGCGGTGTTGCCAATGCGATTGCTGTTGACCTGCCAACGGTTGCCATGGCTACCTGCCAAATTGTCAATAACGGCGCAGCTACACGGCCCAAAATGATTGAGTAACATATACGAATAAAGCACATATTGGCTCAAGGCAAAGCATTGACCAGTGACTCGAGGTTAAAGGGATAATAAAAAAGTTCACAGTTGTATTCCATATGGCAAGTCTTTTGACTAACATGCATAATGCATAAGGCATAATAATTTGAAATAAATATTTAATATAGATGTATATTATAGTTGCCATATATTTCTTGCAGTGCACTATAGCACTACTAATGAAAAGACTCGCTTAACAGACTGTTAACAGTGTTCATCAATGCTTACATTTTAGCTTCATGATAAAATTTAACTGAAGTATAACACTTTCTTAGTTAATATTTCCCATTTTCTCTCAGTACAAGGTTGCACCTTTTCCCTTTTGCAGAGTCTTTACATAGTATATAAATACCTCTATTGCCCATTTTTGCCAATTGGTAATTTTTTTTACAATGTTCTCTGACGCAATTGTAATTATGAATAATTTGCCATAAATGGCACACACTCTCGAACTGCTGCTGCTGTGGCTGTGGCTGTAGCTGTGGTTGCCACTGTAATTATCGGAATTGCCAGTGGGGCTAGTGCACCCGCAGGCTTGGCCCAGTAGCCTAGCTATACAAGGCCTATATAATCTATATATAATATAGAATATATATAGTGTGCAATAGGCAAATGGCACTTACTGCCCTGTGCAAGTCATTCGACTTATGACTGGGCTTTGGCATCTCTTGAAGTGGCAAATCGCCTGCAACCAGGCCAAAAGGTCAAAGGTAACATGGCCACTGCACATGTAGGACTTGCCTTTTGATTTATCAGCTTGAAGTAATCAAAATGAAGTTCCCGATAAATCACAGCTAATGTTCACGTATGTTATATAGCCCTAATTAACAGTTGGACAATCCATTGTTCACGACCCAGTTCGTTTTAGTTGATAAGCTAAATTAATGAACACAGCTGAGATTAGAACAATTTAAATGACGTAGAGGCACTGAATATACCCTATATAATGTATAATTATGGAAAGCCTTTGTTTGCGTATCTAACTTTAAATAGAAGCAATACGAACTTTCAGCTTAATAGAAGTGTAGCTAACAAATCGGATATGCGGTATATTCTAATAGACAGAAATATAGATATTTTATATATATAGAAGACAATTTTTTTTTTGCATCTGGTTTTATGAAGATTAAAATAGCTGAAATATGCTCTTAAAATACAATAGAAGTGTAGCTAACAAATCGGATATGCGGTATATTCTAATAGACAGAAATATAGATATTTTATATATATAGAAGACAATTTTTTTTTTGCA